TGCTACATACCCTTGCCTTTCCTGAGGGACCCTTTCAGTTTGATCCTATAACTAAGGAATGTGCTAGAGGGGCCAGGTTTCTTCCTCTTAATACAGCAGCTCCAGAAAAATCCCTGTAAGTTCCTCCCAGGAGGAAGACAGGGCCTGGAGGAAGAGGCAGAAAGAAGAGAGAACATTACGAAAAGTCTGGGGTACTTCTTGCCCCCTAAGGTCCCCTACTTTCACTGGAAGACTCTTGTAGGGCAGGATGGATTCTGTGGTCTGGTAAAGGGCTGGCTGGAAAAGCAAGGCCTCGGGTAAAGACATAATTGCTGATTGCTGAGACTGATACCTTATGGGACTGTGTCTCATCAGTGATCAATGAGCTGGATGGCCTGGCCAAGGGGCAGGAGACAGACCACCGGGCTGGGGGCTATGCCCGTGTGGTACAGGAAAAGGCCCGAAAGTCCATCGAGTTCCTTGAGCGGAGATTCGAGAGTCGGGACACTTGTCTACGAGCCCTGACCAGCCGTGGCAACGAACTTGAATCCATCGCCTTCCGCAGTGAAGACATCACTGGCCAGCTGGTGAGACCCCCAGCAGAAAGTACCCACAGCCAGCCTTCAGAACAGGGTCTCCAGGAGGGAGGGCCTAAAGGAAGGTCACTCAGCCTGGAGAGCTGAAGGTGAGCTGCCACCATCAAGGCCCAGGAGTGGAAGTTCCCTGTCCCATAGATCACTCTTAACACAGCCAGACTTGACCAAGCAGGGCCAGATTGTGTATGGAGGGACTCTGGGATGTAACCCTGCCCAAGACCCCAGAAACAGAGTATACCTGTGCCTCCTCCGCATGGTGCCCCCTCTTGCCCAGTAGCACCTCTCACACTGTCTTCCTCTAGGGTAACAACGATGACCTGATCCTCTCCTGCTGCCTCCACTACTGCAAAGACAAGGCTAAGGACTTCATGCCCACCAACAAAGGTACAACTTTGCCTCTGCCTCAAGATCATCCATCCCTGGCCTTATCTTGTCCTACCATCCTCAGCCTTAAGGAAATTTGAGGACTTAGGGGATCAAGCCTGATGCAGGCCTGAGGCCAGCCTAGTTTCCTGCCCTCCTGAAAGTCAGATTCCCCTGTCAAAGCTCCCCTACTCCCAAAGAATGTCAAGTGGACCCTGAGCCAACTAGGGATGGGCCTAGCCCAGGAAGCTAGGCTCCAGGCAGTGAGCTTCCCCACTCGGCGTACGTCCATTTCCTTTCTTGGGTCCTCAGTGAGTTCTCTGACAGCAAGAATGTCTTTATGATTCAGTGTAGCTTATTCTGGCCATGGTCTCCTGAGCCCAGCCTACAGCTCTGAGAGGACAGTCCCAAGTGGTCCCTGGGGCCCACCTCCCTATTCTGGGCCATACTCACCTTCTTAGTTCATCCTTGATATTTACCCTGTGTCAGGCTAGGGGCGAAGGTACTTCCCCAGCAAGCAGTGGGTCTTTTCTTCCTGTTCCTATGGTTATGAGCTGTAGCACTTTGTAAGCTGGATGGTATTAGAGGCAAGTGAGAGCTTAAGGACTGAACCCTCAGCCCAGTTTTTAAGACCTTTTTAGTGAGCAGAATCCCATCTTTGGGCCACAGGCCCGCCCTGGAGCTCTCTTCCAGGTACTTCAGCACCTCACTCAACCGGAACTTTCCTGCACAGCCCCTCAGTCAGTAAGGCTCAGGTGTTTTCTGCTTCTGGCTCCCAAGAGTCTCACATTTCTTCTTTTGGAAAGAATTCCTAGGACCTAGCTCAGCGTTGTCTGCAGAGCTGATAATTCTCACCATTTGGTTTATGTCTACATATATGTAGTCTGTCATTTTCTTTTAGTCATTGTCACCCATTTCCTCAGCTCATTTTCCTAGCCCTGGCTTCCAGGCTGGTCTGGGGATTTTCTTCTCCCTTGTTGCTCTTCCCACCTGCTCCCTGGCAGCCCGTCACTCCTGCTTCACTCTCTGTACTAGGGGCTAGTAATGAGTCCACAACTGCTGCTCTTCACACAGGTCCTGCCATGTGGCTTGCTTGTACTGTCCCTTAGGGCCAGATCTGGAGCATTCAAGTGGTAAAAAGGAGTCCTGGCTGAGCCAAACAGAGGAGGTTGGGCTCTGCTCCCAGGCAGCTTCCGAGGGGCACCTTCCAAGGGGAGAGGTAGGCAAGGGTGCCGATGGCCTTGTTGGGAAGTATGGTTCAGATACTGCTGTGGCCCCACCCAGCCTCAGAGCTGTTTCTTTCTTAGCAGAGACACATTTTGGCTTTGGCCCTACTAGTCTCCCCACCCCACCCCCGCTTTACCCCAAACAGCCTACAGGAACCCATTGCCATCCTGGGGACCGCCCCTATCAGAATTACATCAGCAACGGCTGGTGTAATCAAACCCCATTTGTCAGTGTGAATTCTTAGCAGATTAACTTGTCAGATTCACAGAGAAACTGTCACCAAATGTTTATGTGTAAACGATGTTGAATTTTAAAATCATGTGGATTATGGCGGATGGGGCCTGACAAGATGACAGTCTCTGGTTTCTAACAAAGTGAAGTTACCAGTATCAAAACAGAGGATGTTTATTGTTAAAAATGTCTCAAAGTATCCACAGAAACCCCTGCAGACCCCTGCCAGCAGTGTCGGGCCTTGGTTGGCTGACCTAAAGCCTGGGGCTCTCTTGGTCTGAGTCCCGGGGCAGGAATGGCAGGGCTGTGGACAGACCAAGGTAGCCAGCTGGGAGCCCACACAATACTACATGACACCACCCCACTGTAAACTCACACACTCCAGAGGAGCCAGGCCCAGGCAATTGAGTAGCAATCTCAGAGCACCCCTTTATCCATGGCCACCTTCCTCTCCTCTGCCCACCACAGCCCCTCACCTCCCAGTCACACCTTCTTCTACCTTTCCCCTTCTCTCACCACCATCAACTCCACAAGCCTCTCCCTTTCTCTTCCCTCAAACTCCTCCCAAGGCTGACAGCCAGTTCTCAGCCTCCCTGCCTGTAGCTTGCAAGCCTGAAACTGCTCAGATCCGACATGGACATTTGCAGTCCCCCAGCCCAGCCAGCACCCTGTCAGTAAGCCCCAAAGGACATTCCCTGTGCCTCGCTGTCTGCCAAACCACCGTCAGGAAATTCTCAGCCTGAGACTGAGGAGCTGACTTGTCACCTGAGGGGCTTTACCAGGGGTCAGGATATCACTTGTGTGAGTGCTTGGTCTCAGTTTAAAGTCTAAAGTAAGTGTGGCTAGTATGACTGTAATGTTGTAGGGGTTAAAAAAAAGTGTATATACTCGTAAATGTGCATAAAGACATCTGGAAGCATACACAGATCTACCACCTGGAACAAGGCAGAGACACATGAAGGGAGAGAACTGGGAGGATGAGTCTAACTTTACCTTTCCTCTTTCCTCTTCTGTGCTGTTAGAGCTGTTCTCCATGGATTACTTTTATTTAGTAGAGGAAATCATTTGGCTATAGCCTCAGGACCACCTTGGTATGGCTCTGCCAAGGACTTTGCCCTTATCCCCTCAGATCCCTTGAGCTAACCCCACTTCTCACATCTGGTAGCTGCTCTGTAGTCTTTCATTTTCTACCTCTCAATACCTAAAGCATCGACCTGCTGGCCTTGGAGGGAGAAGATATGTGGTAAGAGGAGTATTATGAGCCCAGGACCAGCCATGCAGTTCAGAGTACTAGGAGAGAGAGGGTGTGTGGAGGCCCGTGTTTGGGCAGCTCTCAGAACATGAGGCAGCACAGTCCTCCATAGGAGGCAGGAGTCCAAAGCAGAAGGCCAGCCCAGCCCAACATGGCCCTCTCTAAGCCAGCAGGGGAGGCGCACCCTTAGCTGATCATCTCTATGAGGGAAAAGATTTATGAAAGGGCCAAGAAATGTCTGGCTTTGACCGCCCCCCCCCAGGACTTTATTCCCCTCTAGAGAGGAGAGGCAGCCAGTGCCTCTGCCTTCTGCCCTCAGTGAAGTCCTGCTCTCTTGTGCCAACAGAAGAGCCTATCCGGCTACTGCGGGAGGTGGTGCTGCTGACGGATGACCGGAACCTGCGTGTGAAGGCGCTGACAAGGAATGTGCCTGTGCGAGACATCCCAGCCTTCCTCACATGGGCCCAGGTGGGCTGAGGGGGCCCCACCAGGGCCCACTCCCATGGAACCGATCCTGAGAGGCCACCAGGCGCCCAGTGTAGCACGGAAGATGCCCACGTGCCTGAGCCACCAGTCCACCCTGACAATAAACCATCATCCTCTTCCAACCCACGCCGTAGCCGTGCTGTGGGGGAGCTGCTCCTCACAGAGCCCCTCCCAAGGGTTGGGCAGAAGCTGCTGGGACCCTCCTGGGCTGCCAAGATTTAGTAGGGAGGTGGCTGGCCGCAGTGACAGCAGGTGGGCAAGCCAGAGAGGCTGCCCATGCTCTCAGTCTTTCTTCCTCCCCCTCTCTAGTTCAAGGGCTGGGGGAAGGCATTCTCAGCCACTTTCTCAGGTAGAGATGGGGCAGGGGGCTTAGAGTTTTCCATCAGATGCAGGTGAAATCACAGTTCCCTTTAATCTTTAGAACCCCTGTGCTGAATGTGTCCAAGAGGCTTGGTCATACCATGAAGAGAGTGCCTAGGGTGTGTTTCTCTCCCTGAGGCCTGGATTCCCCCATGGACCCAAGTTGGGTTCTGGACAACATGTCCCAAGTAGCAGCCCTAGGTCCCCACTTCTTCTACCCCATTCCCACCCAACACACACATTCATCCTGCTGCTCTTCTTCCTGCCCTTATCAATCTGGGTCCATAGCACTTTGCCACTTGTTTTCCCCTTGGATGGTCATGGGTCTAGAGGGAAGGGACATCTGGTCTCAGGTCCATGCTTCCTGGGTGGCCTTTTCCTGCTTCCTCTCTCCTCTTTGGCCTTCCTTTTGCTCTAGTTCCCACTGTAAGAAATTTCCTCACACTTTTCTCAGTTCTCCCCTCCACTCTCCGTGACCTCCCTCCCCCCAAGTCATCCCCATCACCATCTTTCCCTTTCTAGTTGATCTCTCTCACCTCCCTGATCCCCTTAATTTCTTCACCTCAGTTCCTTGCCATAGAGGTTCTCATTCTGAATCCCTCCTCTGGTACATGTGGCAGGAACCTAATAAAGCTTTCCCACTCCTGACCTTCTTTCTCAGGCTCCTGTGCTCTGAGAAACTTGCAGGCTAATGCCTGGGAGGAGGACTGCCTAGCCTGGAGTTTGCACTGTTTCTAGCTTTGCCCTAAAACAACTTGACACAGGGGCCCTTTGGCCTTTTGAATTTTTTGTTGCCTCTTTAGCTGGCACCTGTGTTCAAAGCTTCACTCTGGAGGCTTCCTTCTGGGAATGCATTCTCCCAACCCAGGGACAGGGATGAGGGCCACTTAGGAGAAGACTGGGCTTTGAGGAGAAGCTGGGAGTAAATTTTGATGGGACCAGTGGGGAATCCCCCAGAGTCCCCTGTCTGACTGTATAGCCTGCCCAGAGGGTGGGAGCAAAGCTGTGCCCTCTCAAGGCCCAAGATTATGCCAGAAAGCCAAGGGACTGCATAGGAGAGCCACGGCCAATGGTTTGGGGGTATGAATCCCCCAGGGCCTCAGAAGACTGGGCTCTTTGGGGTACAGGATCCCCGACCCCTCCTTTGAAATCCTCTACCCTGGATGAAGGCCGATGACTGGGTGGGTCAGAGACCCCATCTCTCCTTTCTGTCCCATTTGCAGCACTGGTTTTGTTTCCTCAATAAATTTTTAGTTATGAAACATATCTGACCTCTTGCTGATCTTTATCTGACACTGGGGAGGGTAGAAGGTCCAAGCCTCTGCACTACATAATGGCACTGTCTAGTCCCTCTGCCCACCCTGGTGCTCCCACCCAGGTCCTAGTGCAGGGTGGAAGAGAGCCAAAGGGTCCAGGGTCCTTGGTTACTGCTTTATTGCTGTTTGGATCGAGTATAGAAAATGGAAGCGGCTCTGGGAGAGCCTGTGTACAAGGTAGGAAATATACAAACGAGGAGGGAGCTAAAGAGACCACGTTCCCGCCCAGCCTAACCTGGGCTTGGGGTGTGGGGCTGCCCGGGGCGCATGCAATAAATATGGTCCGGGCCCCAGGGAAAGGACGAGGGGACACCGCGGGAGTGGGAGACCAGGTAGGCTAGGGCTTTCTCAGCCCTCTGACTCGAGGGAGGGAAGGGTTGGCCCTGGGGTTAGTGCCACTTGTGCAAAATGAGGAACTTCACATTATCAGTCCCGGGGCGGGCGGGAGCTGGGGCAGGGGGCCCTCCGGCCGGCTCAGTCCCCTCCCCGCTCCCCAACTCTGCCCTACGCTCCGACCCCAGCGGGGGGATTCACAGTGAGAATGGGTGTGGTCGCAAGGGCCGGAGGTAGGGCTGGGAGCGCCCCAACAGTGACATCCCTCCCCCCAAAAGCAGCACGGAGCCAGAGGGGAGGGAGCCAACGAACCACAGGAAGAGGCGGAGAAGGGCCGGGGGTCTCCTTTGGTCAAAGCTGATATCAAAAATATAAATCTCCCTTCCCCCATCCCACCCCGTCCCGGGGTTTTCCCCTCAACCCCACCCCGGGCTAAGGCACAAAGCAGTGAGGCCAGGTGAGGCCGCAGAGAGGTGGGGCCGCCGCCACTGCGGCGACGCTGCGGCTGCTACTACAGTTGTCTGGGAGCGCTGTGCCTGCTCGCTGCCGAGCGGCGCGGGCCAGGGGCCACACGGCGGTGGCGAGGTGGACCGGCGATGGGGCGCTCTAGGTGGGGGAGAAACGGTCGATGGTCCGGCCGTCAGGCCCGGCGGCCAGGTGCGCTCCCTGGCTCAGCACCTCTGCCGCCTTGTCCGGGCTGAGGCCCAGCTCCGCGGTGAACTTAGCCAGCGGGTAGAGGCTCTCGAGCGCCACCTTGGGGTCGTGCAGGAAGTGCGTGGTCTGCGCCAGCAGCTCGGCGGCGGCGGCCTTGTCCTGCTGCTTCAGGCTCAGCTGTTCAGCCGTGAGGCGGGCCACAGCAAAGACACCCTCGGGGAAGTCGAGCTTGCCCTTGCCATCCGGGCCGGGAACGCCGGGCAGCGCCCCCAGCCCTGCCAGCGCCCCGGCTGCGCCCGCTGCGCCACCCACAGCGTGCATCTTCATGTGGCTGATGAGGTTGCGTTGCTGTGCGAACTTGCCACCGCACACCTGGCACTCGTAGGGCTTCTCGCCTGAGTGGATACGCATGTGCTCGGTGAGACGGTACTGGCGCGTGAAGCGCATGCCACACGCGTCGCACGCGAAGGGCTTGAGACCCAAGTGGCTGCGCATGTGGCGCGTCATGGTCCCGCGCTGTGTGAACTTCTTCCCGCAGATTGTGCATGGATAGGGCCGGGTCAGCCAGTGCGTCTTCTCGTGCTGCCGCAGCGTGGCCGGGTCTTTGTAGCTCTTGTCGCACGACGCGCAGCGGTATGGACGCAGCAGCTCGCCCAGGCCTCCGGGAGCCCCAGGGACCTTGTCCCCTCCGGCTCCGAAAGGGGGCCCAAGGCCCGCGGCCCCGGCAGCTACCTCAGCCGCCTCAGCCCTGCCATACAGCGCCTCCTCCTCCTCCACATGCGCCTCCACGTGCGCATTCAGCTGCTCCGAGCTAGGGAAGCCCTTGCCACATGGAATGCACACATACAGGTTGTCACCGAAGCTCTCAGGCTCGCCATAAGCCAGGTGCGGGCATGGGTAGCCCTCGAGGTGACCTCCGGGTGGGCTGGGGTCCTCGCTGCTGCCTGTCTCCTCGCTGCTGCTCTTGTAGTCGTCGCCGTCGCCGCCCGCTCCAGGCCCGTCCAGGCTGCCCGGGTAGCGCGGCGGTGGTGCCAGGCCAAGCGGGGGTCCCCCAGGCGAAGCAGCCGGGTCCCCGCTGCGCTCCTCGCAACGCTCGCCTGGGGAGCTGCGGTCCCGGCCCAGCTCGTCGCCATAGGTGCCCAGGCCTGGCTCGTGCTTCATCCAGCGGTAGAGAAGGCTGGGCCCGTCGGGGCGGCCGGGGGGCTCGGGTCCCGGGCTGCCGCCGCCGCCACGGAACGGGTCCGGAGGCGGTACGGCCTCCTCCAGTTTCTGGAAGGGCAGAGGCGGCAGCGGCGGCAGGGAGAGCGGTGGTTCCTTGTAGGCTGCGGGGCCGGCACTGGGAGGGCTGTCTGGGCGCGGAGGCAGCTCGCGCTCGCCCGGCGGCCGCTCCGGAGGTGCGGAACCCGGCGGGCTTTTCTTGGACAGGTCCAGGCCACAGAGCGGGGAGCAGCGGCGCTCCGCGGCGCATAGGGCGGAGGCTGGGCCGGGGCCGGAGGCGTACAGCTCGGCGCAGTGCGTGTTCACTGAGGCCTCGGGGCCTGACGGCGGCTCAGCACTGGGAGGCGGCGGAGGCCCGGCTGGGGACGAGTAGCAGGCCTGGATGACCGGCGTGGTGGCCCGCAGGCCCCGGCCTGGCCGCCCGTAGGGCGCATAGCCGCCGCCACCGCCACCACCGCCCCGCAGGTGGCAGTACTTGCCATGACGCTTGAGGCGCTTCTTGCACAGCGCCACGAGGTCAGGGATCTGCAGGTAGCTGGCGGCGGCCAGCACGGCTCCCAGGCTCGGCTCGGTCCCCGGAGCCACGGCCGCCGCTGCCGCTGCCTCTGCGCCATCAGCCAGGCGGCCGGTGTAGATGAAGTCCAGCACCAGGCGGAACACAGCCGGGCTCACCATGTCATGGTCCAGGTTGAGCAGGTTGTCATGCACCACCAGGGACTTGAGGTAGGCGCTGCTGGCCGCCAGCACGTTCTTGTGCGCGCGGAAGAGGGCGTTCTGCACCACGATGATCACGTCGCACAAGAAGCCCTTGGTGCGCTGGTTGTTGAGCTGCAGCAGCAGCTGCCTCGAGTGGCCCGGCGCCTCCATCGTGTCCAGCATCGTCTGCCCAGCACAATCTCCTGCAGGGACACACACCAGCAGGTTCAGAGCCGGATGGAGCTCTCACTGCCGGCCGGTAGCCCGGCGCTTCTCCCCTCCACTTCCCCTTCCCCTCAACTAGGCATCGAACACGGCGGCCTGGGCACTAGCGAAGGATCAGCGACCTCTGAGTGTGGGAGCCTGGGCCGGCGGCCCCGACCAGAAGGAGGAGGAGAGTGGCTGGTGGAGAGGCGGCCAGGCTGGCCTGCACCCCCAGACCTGGAGGCGCTGGGCACACAGGCTGGGTTCTGGGGGCTTCCGAGAAGAAAACTGTTCGGGCGAAGTGACTCTTTAGGGGACAGTTACCCGATTTGAGGAAAATGTCCGCTTCAGGAAAAGTCATTCAGGGCTGAGAAGTTTGCCCAAGTGGGATCTAAGGGAGCCGAGTGAAAAGCGCCTCCCGCCTCGGGAGAAGTTGCCCCAGTTGGGGGAAGTGACCCGGAGTAGGGGAGCACCGTGGCCGCCGTGGCGCCGCCTTGGCCGGGGGCTGTCAGGCCTTCAGTTGGGGCCCCGGGCGGCTGCAGCGGCACGGGGAGCGGGCAGGAGGCTGAGGCAGGAAGCAGGTGGGGGGGAGGGGGGAGCCAGGCAGCTCCCAGGGGAGGGAGGGGGCAGCGCCCCGGGCGGGCACAGCGCGCAGCCGGCTGTGGCCCTGACCCCGGCCTGCGCCCCACCCGCGTCCCGGCCCGGCCTCGGCCTTAGGTCTGCATTCGCGGCCCGGCGCCTCCCTACCCAGCTCCCCTCAGCCCCTTCTTCACGGGAACTCCGCCGCCCAAACTTGGGGAAAAGTTTCCCAACTTCAGACAGGCTGGGAGGGGCGCGCCAGCCCCACTCCCTCGTCTCCTAGCTTTTCCTCTTGCCCCCCATTTCGGCAGCCAGGCAGCCGCTGGGCCTGAGTCGAGCCCTGAGCTGCCCTGCTCGCCCGCTTGCCCGCCCGACCCTGTTCCCCGCCTGGCCCGCAGGGCTTCGCGGCCCGTTACCTGCGGCTGCAACCCTGCCGGGCTTCCCTCCCTGTGGTGGTGGCAGCTCCTAGCC